TGTCTGTGCAGCAAACCGTTGTTTCTAAAAAATATCATCATCTGTTGTGCCTCCGGTCCTTTTCAAATGTTAAAAGATTAAGTTCGAAAACATGGCCTATTTAGATTTTTTGCACATATAAGGATGCATGCCTTTAAATAGTTTCAGCACTCCTGAAGAGGAGCACAAGTGGCACAAAGGGGGCTGTGAATCTCAGCGAATCCCTGATCTCTGCGAGTGGGAGGTTCACGAGTCGGTTTGCTGTGATCGAAACACTCAGCTTTCCCACAGAATATTTGGGGGATTTTGAAGTTTGGGATCTGGCATCTCGTCTTTGATGCTGGCCTGCGCGGTAATCACACCTATTATCTCGGTGAAGTATAACCCCGGGGTGGTGTTGTGTGTGTGTGTGAGTGTGCACCACTTTCTTTCCAATCGTCCAATCATGCACTTTGCTGCAGCAAACTGCTGAATATTTCGGGTGGCCAGCTCTAACTGCGTGCTCGAGGATCTCTCATGGTCGAGGTGACTCACGCTCCCTCAGAACACCTCGTTTTACTGTTTAACATCGCTATTGACTGCCTGCTTTCTCCTCACTCACCGCTCTTAAATGGTCCTTGGCTGGTAGGAGCATTTAATGATAACACAGCTGAGTGCATCACCGACCTCCAGCCAGATGTGCAGGGGGTTGAAAACAGCTTACTCACTGTTATTGTTTTGGACATTTTGTTTGGCTAACCGCTACCTGGAGTACGAGTCCACCTACTGCAGAGAACCCCTCCGATACCTAACAAGGGTGCACACGCGGCTGTGCCTTTGTACTTTGGCACGATCTGCACTTTACTGAATGAACATTTCCAGTTGAATACGTGGCCTTTTTTAAAGTGTATTCATTTTATTTGTTAAAGGCGGAGCCTTCTCTTTGTTCATAAGACCACCATTTATGTCATGGAACTGAATTTATTTATGTTTTTGGATTGGTTTATTGATAACACCGATTAACTGACCTCGTTTGAGCTGGTTACAGCCGCAATGGTCCATCACTAACTCCAGGCCAAAAAATATATGTATATAATATATATATAATATATATATATTTATTATATATGAGAGAGAGTATTTCTCGCATTGTCATTCAACAAAGAAGTCATCAGACAGCTGTTGAAGAGTGAATTGTGTAATCAAAATCTTTGATTATTCATTCTATTTGTCAAAGAACCATTTGTTTGTCAGCCTGAGCATTTATCCTGTGACAGAAAGAGGGCTTACAGGAGTTTAGTGTGGCCTAATCCTCGTCAGCTTACTTCCAGTTACAGTCAGCTACACAAACGTTCCACCGTTGCAACAAACTTCCGCTGTGGTCCGTTTAAGTCACAAGCGCAGTAACGCGTTGTTGTTTCTCTCCTGTTGACTAAGGCTTCTGGAGGGGGGGGGGGGGCGTTGTGTCTGTCATACGTCCCCTCACAGCTTCTCCTTATATTTTGCTCACTCCGTTCACGTTTAAACAGCAGATCAGTCTGCAGATTTGAACAGTAATGTTTCAAAGATGTCAAGTATCAGGGCAACGGGGAAATGGAGATAACCAAGTGACCGGCACACAGCTGCTGGCCATAATTCCCTGCAGCCGTGACTGATGGGACACACCTCGGCAGTCAGCCTGCTCACCCGGCGCCAGCTTCTGTTCCGCCGGCGCTGTTTAACATTGAGGACGGGTGCACAGGGTTTGCACAGTGGACCCGGAAATTTTTGCGTGCTTCCGGAAACCTGGCCGACCTTAGTCTCCAATCAGACCAAACATCCTTCCTTCCAAACGCCCTCATTGTCGAAATGTCTAAACGTGAATAAGACGCAGCTTCTAGAGGTGATGTTCTGTATTATTCTCACCAGCAGTAGAGAGAGAACCACTGAGTAGATCTATAGAGCAACGTATTATTACTGTGACTGAACCTAAGCTCCTCATTGTAGTGTTAAAAACATACACTCAGTCCGGTTTAAGATCCTGGGAAGAAATGTTCTCTTTCTTGATCTCCTTGGACACGTGTAGTGACATATTCAAGCACACTGGGTTTAGCTGTCTAGCTTTTCTAGTTTGAGTCCACTGTAAACTGCTGTCACGCTATGGTTGCTAAACCCATATGATGCTAATCGGCTTCTTGTTAACCAAGGATCAAGATAAGGCCAGTTAAAGGGGGAGATGGGGGGGGGGGTTAATTAGCACCACAAAGCTGTGGAGAGACGACATTGATTAATTGTTTTTGTTTAGAATTAGGACTAACGAAGAAACCAATTCACTTAATTCAGCTGTGGACCTCACTTGTTGACTAATATTGGTTATACGCTAACTACCCTGACCTTTGAGGCGTTATTATAGAGGAGACTTTAGTGTGGTTGATAAGATAAGAATCCTGTATTTGTTCCGTAAAAAGATTTATAGCAATCATATAATATCTATATGATGTAAAATAATAATACCAGTCCTGCAAAATGTTGCCATGTGATACAGATTTATTTTTGAATACAAACTATTATTGTCTACCATGCTTTACAGTAATAAAATAATTAGAAATAAAGTGATTATTTTGTATTCGTAAGTGACGAATCAATCTTTATAAATATTATGATTCAGCATTTTTGTGGGTGATGCTGTGAAGTGTGTGTGAGATGACAAATGTGGCGTATTTTTAATAACGCACTACCCGCTGGGTTTTTGCTTTGTGCTTTGTGCTTCTGCTCCGTTTGAGAGGCGATCGCTCACTTGTGTTTGAGCTCATTTGAGTCAGAGAGGTGGTCTGCTTCCACAGCTCCCCCATCCGGGGCGCTCTGATTCTATTAGGCGGTGATCAATAGTAAACACTCCTCCTGAAATAACCCCCCTCATTCCCTCGGCCACATCTTCTTCTTTTTCATCGAGCAAAAAAAAAAAAGCTCTGTCATGCTGCTGTCGGTGGAAAATAGTTTGTAATCACTGCTGTTTGTGATGTTTGAGCAAAGCAAGTTTTCCATCAATGTTTGACTGTCTGTAGTTTGAACTAAATCCAACGCACGGAGTCATCTCTCCACAGTAAGGGCGTGCATGCATCAAGGATAACATGTGACACCACGCCAGGAACTTGATTTGAACACACGCTTTAGCCATAGCATGACATATTCGCCCGAGAACAGGACTAATGTGCAACCTGTTTGCACGTGTCTCTGCTGGGGGACTAATATAGTCCAGCACACCAGCTAACGGATGCAGCAGTGTCGGACTTTATGGATCGCTTCCTGACAATGTCACCTATGTCATCTATTTTCCTGTGTGTGTGTGTGTGTGTGTGTGTCCTTGCCCAGGCGGCTGCACATTCTGCCGGTAACAGCTGAGCCTTTTTTCTTTAGCCGTGTGTGCAGCACCGGCTCGATGTCATTCTGAAAACATTCCTCTGCACCGTGTTTAGTGGCACTTTGTGGTTTTTCAAATGTAACGAAAGGATTAATCGCTCTGGTTAAAAGCCCCCCCCCCCCTCACCTGCCATGACTATGAAGCTACTGTCTGCCGGTTGTCTGGCGCTGTGTGTTGGGAATGGCATCCCTCTCGTGTCTGTCTCTGTGTGCATATGCCCGCGTGTGCTCCCACCACCTTCCCCCCGCTATGCACCACACCTCTGAGCATACATGCGGCTCCTGAATTATGCAGAAGCCCCGATGGCTGCTGGGAGGGTGGCCGGAGACAGTCAATGTGTGGGGACGTGCATTTTGATTGGCGGCGGGGGGACACCGAGCTTAGAGGGATGAGGGTTCTGTTTACGAGGAGCAGCGGGATTCCTGAAAGATGAGCGCTGAGATGCCGAAAGGAGGGGGGGGTCTAATGAAGATTGGAGAATGGAGGGGGGGGGGAGGAGGAGGAGGAGAAGGGAGGAGCGTCGCCTAAAGGGGAAAAAAGCTGCAGTGCTGAAGGGTTGAAATGTGCTTCCCTCCTTTTGAGCCCCGTGCTGCTGCAGCAGTGAGCGGGGAGAACCCAGCCCTCCATCAGTAGAAAAGGTTCTCTGCACAACTGAATTATTCATGGGAGTTTAGAGGAGTGCAGTGAAAATATCCCCCCCGGCCCACACACACACACTTGCACACAAAACCTAATAAGACACACACACAATGGGCTTTATCGTCACATCAAAGCGCATCCTGCTCCCTAGTTCATTTTTAGGTTATTCAGGGTGATTTTGTATTTTGGGCGTTTTCATCTCGTGGGGGGGTGGGGAGGGGGGGTTCAGCCATGGTTGAATAATTAAATAGATTTAATCTGGCTGCGTTGTTCACCGCATTCCACCGTCGTTGTCGTCCGACTCCGTGAGGGGCGGGGTCCGCCGAGTGTACGTGCGTTACATAAGTCGCTGCCGGGATGAGATGGTTGGAGTCAGGTGTGCTCTCAGAGCGGGGTCAGCCTCACGGAGAAGTGGGGGGGGGGGGTTCTGTACGTGTGGGGGAGATGTTTGCGAAGAAAGGCGTGGTTGGTGTCAGGAGTGCAGAAAAGTGATTGCAGATATGGGGGAGGGGGAGTGGGTAAGGGAGCCAAAAAGGTAGAGCGAGCGAGCAAGCAAGTGAAGGAGATGGGGGAAGATAAAAGAGATCGATGACACGTAACCTTTAGCTGCAGTGGGTCGTGGCTGTGACCATGTGCTTGTTCACCCCCCCTGTCTCTTTTCACAGCGTTTGTGTGAGTGAGAGGTCTTATGTGACTTCATTAATAAATATCACACAGGATATTTAGGCTTACATCTTTTTTATTGCCTACGACAACTGCTGATCTGGATCCTTTTCAAAGAGAGACACACACATACACTCTGTTATGTGCTTTAATACACAAATGTTGTAATTAAAGTTGTCCATACCATTCTGCACACCCAGTCTCTCCCACATGCTAAAACATTCTGGATGCATGAATTTCAGATGAAGCCTCTTCCATCTAGTTCCTCTGCTAGAACCATCTGATCATTACAGCTTCAAAAAATCATTTTTCCTTTCTGCTGCTTCTGTCTTCTCTCTAGGATCGCAAGCTGTCAAAGGTGGAACGTCAGCGCTTTAAGGAGGAGGCAGAGATGCTGAAGGGGCTTCAGCATCCAAACATTGTCCGTTTCTATGACTTTTGGGAGTCGCCCCTGAAAGGGAAGAAGTACATTGTGTTAGTAACAGAGCTCATGACGTCGGGAACGCTAAAAACGTGAGTACAGTTGAATGCAGCTTTTGCACAGAGGAGCGCTCTGACAAATCACCAGCTCGAAAACAAGCGGTGTAGAATGCTGGGAATTGGCGGGAAGTCGACCAATAAGAGACGTCATACAATCTCGCCAAAACCGAAATGAAGCTCAGCGAGCTCTCTGCCAGCGTATGAGTTACAGAGAAGTTCAGCAGCGTTTCTACTGGTAACAATAGATCTGTCAACGGGGAGCCAAACAAACCGTACACAACAATAAACGGGAGCCGTATAACAACCAGTGGGTAGTAAAGTAAAACACACTTCATTCAAACTCAGAAACAAGCTGTGTATGCAAGCAAGCAGAAGTGGTCAAAGTGACCTCTAACCTTTTGATCCAAACTGTGTCCAAGAAACGTCTACGATTGACTGATGATCTACTTTAAAACTCCTTTCGCTGTCAGGTAACGCCATTTTCTCTCTTTACTGCAGCTATCTAAAGCGTTTCAAGGTAATGAAGCCGAAGGTGCTGAGGAGCTGGTGCAGACAGATCCTGAAAGGCCTTCACTTTCTGCACACCAGGACCCCTCCCATCATCCATAGGGACCTCAAATGTGACAACATCTTCATCACCGGGCCAACGGGCTCGGTCAAAATAGGGGATTTAGGATTGGCAACACTCAAGGCGGCTTCCTTTGCTAAGAGCGTCATCGGTGGGAGACTGAAATGCAACATTGAAGACCAATTTTTCTTCCAGTAAACCAATAAATGACATAATCATTTGGGTATTTTGTCTTCAGGCACGCCGGAGTTCATGGCCCCAGAGATGTATGAGGAACACTATGATGAGGCTGTGGATGTCTACGCCTTTGGCATGTGTATGCTGGAAATGGCCACCTCTGAATACCCCTACTCCGAGTGTCAGAATGCAGCCCAGATATACCGCAAAGTCACAAGTGTGAGTCCAGTCACTCCAGTTTGATTGAGAAACCTAGAAGATGGTATGGCGGCTGAAAATGACAACAGATAAAGACTAAAAAGTCGTATCATTACAGTTGTAAAGATTGTATTGACTGATTTGAACGAATACAGTAAATCCCTGCTGTTAAACAATCATTTCAACCCAAAAGCAAGTGGTGATGTATGCATGTTATGCAATCTTCGCTAAATATGACAGAACCAACCAAGCCGGCTGCCCGTGTAGCATGTGATGTAAGTGATGTGCGCAGCAGTATGGGTTCTGGTAGCCACACACACACACACACACACACACACCAACAATACAGAAAACTAAGTCTCTGGTGCAGAGCAACAGTGTTAGTAGTGTTGGTTCCATTTGTTGTTAGCTGTTAACAAACTCACCAATCTAAACACTAAAATAGGACAAACTGCCCCCCCCCCCTCTCACTACTTCCCACACCAATCCCACCGTGTCTCCGTGTGCAGAGTAGGAGCTGAGAGGCAGCGATGCATTCAGCTGGTGCTGCGGCTCCTTTCACACAGGCCCATTAAAGAACGGCGACTTCGGAGTCAGCCGGCCGTCAATAAGCGTTTGTTAAAGTGTGAGTCACTGCAGCCCTGCTAGCCCCTTTAGCATGCAGCCGTAACAGGCCACAGAAAGCTTATGCAGATGGCTGCAGCAGGATTTGATATTAGCCGTGGACAGACACAGAGACGCGCTCGGTGCTCTGGACATACGTTTTGCAACAGCTGCTTAATGAACCTGCTGGATCAGGTGTGATGACGTCAGGGAAGTTTTTAGCCGCTTCGCCACATAATAAGTCACTTTTTAATTGCATGAATGCAGCGTTTACTGTGGAGTACGAGGTCGGAGGATCTGTATCCTGTGTAAAGAATCTAATGAGCCATATGGAGTCACAGAGGGAGGCCAGATAGCCTTTGTTGTTTTTGACTAAAGCCCGTGGGGGCTGCGTTCCATTTCTTTTCAATGAGTGTGTCTCTGCGAGCAAAACATGCCGCAAACTGCTTTTAGATCGAGGGGTGTTTAATGTCCCGGTAGTCTTCCTGATTCGATGAAGAGTATTGATCTTCCACGCTTTGAGATTTAGCAGTGCGGAAACCCGAGCTCTGACTCTTTCACCCGAGTGGAGGCCTGTGTTAATGTTCGGCCTGCATCGGGGCAGCGGCTTCTATATGCCGCTCTCTGCAGCTAACGCTGCTGCATGTCAGAGTGGCCTGCAGGGACCACTGCAGGATATTAATAGGAGATTGATCAAAGAGAAAACCACTGCATGTAGCTCCATGACGAGTTGAAATGTACGCAGGATGCGTATATTTTATGACGTAGCTGGAGAACGTGATCTCCGAGTGCGCAGCTATATATTTCGAAAGAATCCCACCATTTTAAAAGTAAAAACCTGTGTCTTTGAAATGCTCCCAGTGGAGACTCGCTACAGAAACTTCTGCTGCGGTTTAAACGCTTTCTCCGGGTGCTTTTATGCCTTTTGGAATCCAATGCATCTGACATGGATTCAAGCTGACCACAGCTGCCGCATTCCGTCAATGCCGACAAGCCCACAGGGTGTGACTTTCTGATACTTAACAGATTCAATTTTAGGTGACAAAAAACATCACCGTGCTCTCTACTGTTTTTCAAAAAGTCATCGTTACTCCCCAGCATCACAGCGTCCTTTCTAAAGGCTTGTCCTCAGAGTTTGGTTTGCATTTCCCTTTTCCTCAGGGAGTGAAGCCAGCCAGCTACAACAAGGTCATGGATCCTGAAATCAAGGAGATCATTGGGGAGTGCATCTGCCAAAAGAAAGAGGAGCGGTGAGTTGTCCGCTGCCCGGCCAATAGCCCACAAGGTGCCCTCTCATCTTTTCATGCCTCGTCTCACCTCCCCTGCTTCATCGCCATGTCTGCAGCGCGTCCCTCAATTCTCTATTACATAATGAGTTTATTTACACAGGAGGAAATAACCCTTAATTAGCCTCCAGTGGCTTTTTCTTTAGTCAAGTGTGATTGGGATCAGTAAGAGACTTCAGTGATAAGCTGTGTGTCTACAGCGATGGGAATCCACGTCCATGCGTGATGTCATTACTCGGCCGTAAATCGCGAATTGGGTTTGTACAACTATAAAATTCGTAGAGCAATTCTTACTCCATTCAAAACTCCCCAAACCTTCTTTTTTGTTGAACAGCTGAGAGCTGGTTACTGGCATCCAGCCCACATGTGACCGGTTTTCAGTTCCTCTCTCAAGCGCATAAAGCAACAGTATCAGGCGTGGAAGAAAATAAATCATCCAGCGGCCATTTGCACTTTCTCACCACCGGGCCGTTCTCCTTTCCAAATAATCAAACCCCGTAACCAATGAAATGAAATCGCACACTTCAGGATAAAGGGGCATATGCACAACCGTGCAGGGGTCGTAAGGGTGACATTTAACAGTGCAACAATAATAAAGGAAACTAGAGACAGTGGGGGGGAAGCGGCGTGCAGAGATGATAGGTTTTCAGGTCTTAACTTAAAGTATCAAGTGTTTTTATTGCATTTGTTGGTAGAAGCAGGCCGTTTTGGGGAGTTTCATTTAGTTTCCTCAGAGTTTGAATGACTTGTTGTTGTTCCTTCGTCCAGGTACACCATCAAGGACCTGTTGAACCACGCTTTCTTTGCTGAGGACACGGGCGTGAGGGTCGAGCTAGCGGAGGAGGACGATGGGAAAAAGGACTCGATAGCACTGAAACTTTGGGTGGAGGACCACAAGAAGTTAAAAGGGAAGTACAAAGAGAGCGGCGCCATCGAGTTTATGTTTGACCTGGAGAAGGAGGTCCCCGAGCTGGTCGCACAAGAAATGGTGAGGGGACATTTGGAAGTGTATCTTTTTTTTTTTTTAATTTGTGTAAAATATTTAGAAATGACACTGGACTCGTCTTGATATACTTCTAATTATCGTTATTACATTATAGGTGTTCCTTTAAAATATATAAAATACAAAAATCCTTTTCTTGATTTCTGTACGTGATAAATAGTTTCCCCCCTGCTGGTTATGCATTTCGTCACGCTCTGCATGCCTGTCTGCCTGTGTGCTCCGGCTGGTGGCTCATATCTCATCGTTGGGGAATGCATTCAGATTGTCAGAGATAACTTAAACCGCTCTTTCAGGAACACAGTGAGGTCTTTTTTTAAATGTCTTCTCGTTTTGTTTACATGGTTTTCTCTAGTGAACTCCCATCAGATAAGGCACCCAAAGGCCCTGCAATAAAAACTCAAGCCTTTATAGCACTCATCAAACATTGTGCAGCACAATGAAATTATTTATTGGGTTAGGGGATTAAAAGCTTGAGTTAACACAGCTCGACTTCAGTTGGAGAATATAACAGTCTTTGCCAGGTTTCATTTTTTTAACCGGCATGACCCGGTTTAGATAGAAAAACTGACTATTTAAACTATTTAGTCCTTTTGGTGAGACTTTAGATAGAAAAACTGAAAAAGGAACATCATAAATACGACAGAGTCTTCAGGAGAAGGATCTTTCTTTAATATTTAGTCCTTTTGGTGAGACTCTTATCACCACGTGTGCTGGTACATCATGTAAATCAAGTAAAGGAGTGACATGTGTCAGCTGTATAATAATAGCTGCATATTACTGTCGCTCACATTGTTTCATTCTCAGCCACCGTGCCCAATGACACGTGTTTGTGTGCCAATGGCGCCTTATTTGTTCACGTGTTCATACTGTGCTTTATGCAGCACATAAGACAAATGAACTCGATTTGATTAGTTTTAAGATGCTGCCTGGCTGTTTTTTGTTACTGCTAAATAGTATTATCTAGTTTCAGCTAAAGCTCTGTAGCCAATTTAAGGCTTTGTGTTCTCCGCACAGTGTAATCGTAGTTATTTTGAGATGTATCAGACCAGACACTTCTGTTGTGAACAATGAACCCAGCTGCCGACAAAGGGAATACTTCCCCACTGCTCTGATCCCCTTCAAATAGATTCTCTATTCCTTCCTTCTCTCCCTCACACAATGCGCTCTCTTCTCTCACCTGCTAAAAATACCCTGGAAGTCACGCTCTTCCCCCCCCCCCCCTTTTTTTTTACTTTTGCCAGGTGGAGTCCGGCTTCTTCCACGAGAGCGATGCCAAGACTGTGGGAAAGTCCATCAGGGACCGCGTAGCTCTGATCAAATGGAGGAGGGGGAGGACGGTGTCTGCTGCGGCCACAGTGAATCGAGGCGACGGTGGGCACAGGGTCCAGGTGACCCCCCCTCTGGGCATCGGCGCCGGGGTTGCACACGTGGGCCCGCCTTCGCTGGATCCGGACGAGCCCGAGGCCGACCAGCACAACAGGCTGCGCAACCTGCCAGCCAGCGGCACGTCAGTGACATGTGAGGGATTCTGCTCTCCTCCTCCGCTCAGAAAGCCGCAAGTTTAATCCCTGACACTTTTTTTGTGATGGGCGTATGATTTCTGTGCGTCCCTGCAGCAGACGGCACACTCGATAGTGGCATGGGCTCCACTGTGTTCTCCGACTCCCACAGCAGCCAGCAGAGTGTCCTCTACCAGTCCCTGCTGGAGCCTATCACTATGGCAACGCAGCAGGTGTGTTTTTAGGAGCATACACACCCAGGTGGACCATGCACATTCGGATTCATCACCCTGGTGCTGAGCCCAGGCTCTGAATTCGCACAGTCAACATGTGTTTGTCAACATCACAGTCAACATTTTCTCATACGTGATTTTGTTCGTCTCCATATTATACTTTTTTTCATTTTGAGTAATGTGTGTTTTTGCTTTCGGGTTGCTCCTCCTGATCAGTGCCAGAGCAGTGGCCCGTTTCTAACAGATGGATCTCACTCCTGTGAAAAGGGGGAAGTTTGGGGGGCAACGCTGAGCCCAGAGCTCAGGACTCGATTAGGAGCTGCGACCCGAAGAGGAAGCGCCCCGGTGATCGACACTGGCAGAGCAAGTCAAATTGCTCAACTCCACGCCCTCATTCAGTCACACAGATCAATCAGCCCCACCCCGACGCAGCCGGACTACCAGTTGGAAGTCCACCCACCACAGCTCCACTCAGAGGCCGAGTGTGGGTTCCCCTTCAGGTGTAGCGTGCCTGAGTACCGTCGCTTCAGCGACACGCCGATCAGACCGCCATCAGAGGCCACCGGCGAGAACTCGACCCTCCCTGTGCAGAGCGAACGAAGGCACTCCGACCTCAGTAGCTTTCTGAGTCTGACCTCTCATCACAATCACGCCTTTGCCACGCTCCGAGGCCACGTGTGCCAGGTGTGCCTCTCTTTGCTTCTTCTGAGGTCGAGCGAAGGGAGCCACCGCCGTCCGCCTGTCGCCATGCCAATGCACCACTTTCCATGTGACTTGAGGCTCAAACCGTCCTCCGTCGGAGCAGCGGCCGCCCCTGGCTACGGACACCTGAAGGGTTCCAGCGATTGTTCAAATTTCTCCCTCCTGCAGCAGTCGCTGTTCAACATAATCAGCCGCAAAGCAGCCCCTTGTCCTGCCCAGGCAGCCCCGCTGGCCTCCCCAGCCGCCCCCAGGCCTGCACATGGCGACGGAGATAACGGCCCGAACAGTCGGCCGCCGTGTGACGGTTTGGTCGGGGACCAAGAACCCGTCCTGGAATGTGAGGACGGTGCCAGAGAGCAGAGCGTTACCAGAGCCGTGGGAGTGGTAGGTCACATTAGCAGACAAGTCGCTTGGTCTCCCATACGGGGGCCAACTAAACTCTCCCAGGCTGTAGGAGATGAGCACTACTCTGCATGGAGTTTGACCTCGTCTACAGAGCTGACTGTCTTCTTATGAATCATAAGCTTGATCCTGTCAAAGGACGACAGAATAGACCATGTTGTCCTGCTGCTTAACCTCAACCAAGCCCCTTTAACAGCTTTAACAGTTTCCTTCCTGCTTTACTGACCCAATGCTACGCCTGTCTCCTTCGCTCACCTTGGTCTGTGATTGAAGGTGACGGGGCGCCTGTCTGAGGTCCCTCCTCTCGGACTCTCCTGCCGTTTCTCTTTTGTTTTCTTGTTTTAGCGCACACCTGTCACTGCCTGCTCTATGTTGAAACCGGTGTTTCAATTACTTATTTTATCCGTCATCTTCATTCCACTTGCATCCGGTCATGTGGCAAACCTGTTTGTGTGACTTTTATCGTTGACTGATAATAAGAGGGACAGGGTCTCATTTCAATTGCTCTTCTTTGTGTCCTTAGGCCAGTACTGCAGGTCACCACAATCAACCTTCTCTACAAGTCCTGCCGACTTCCAGCGGTACTGCAGCGGCGTGTGCACCGCTGCAGTACCTCCAGCCTGGACACAGCTACCCTCCCGCTCCGTATGTTGGCCAACACAGCGCCGCCACACCAGCTGCAGCTGGTCTCTGTTCAGTCAACATCCAGCATGCTGCCGGTGCTGCCAGCTACACACCTCCGAGTGTGCAACAGACCCAACTTGGGGCAAATATCTCAGTATCAGCTGTGCAGCAACATGGTGCACAGAGCTACCAAGCACCAGGTCACCACCACCATCATCACCAACAACAACACCACCAACAACAACAACAACAGCAGGCAGCGGCAGCAAGCTCTTTGACTTTTCCTCTGAACGTGCAACAAACTTGTCCGAACTGCGTGGTCGCCACTCAGCAACAGGCTCACAGTGCTTCGGGATGTCACACTCCGGTTCGGCAGCAGACTGCCGCGGCAGCGGCCACCCTGCCAGCACAGCAGCCAGCACAAGGCTACCCTCTTGCATCTGTAGCCCCAACCGTTGCAGCCATGGCCCAGTGTCATATTGCACAAGCTCCCGGTGCACTACAACACGTCCAAGCCGCGGTCCAACTGCCAAGTCAGAGCTCCTCCACACCAGCACTTTACAGCCAGCCGATGGCCATTCAACAAGAGCACCAACTGAACAGTCAGACCAACGTACAGCTGGCGCAACACGCGCGGCAGGCTCACATTCAGCCTCAAGTCCAGCATAACAAAGAAGCTCTGCACACCATGCACCAACAAATGGCACAGCCGCCTACCCGCCTGTCTCAGGGTCAGCAGACCCCAACTCTCCAAAAGCACAGTCAGACAGCCATGCAGAGCCAGGACCGATGCCATTCTATAGTCCAACAGCCCCCCCAGGTCGCGCAGGTTGAAGCCACACGCCCGAGTTACCCTGCCGCTGGTCAGCCTGATGCCTCATCGCAGAGCTCTGCCCACTCGGCCCTCACTGCGCTGCAGCAGCAGACTACTCCGCCACAGGTCCAGTACCTGTCCGCACAGTCCTCTGGAGCTCCACAGGCCTTCGGAGCACAGCAGGTGAGCGGTGATAAACATCAGACAGTATATTGCAGCGGGGCGGCACACAGTTTTTGAATCTCATGCCGGTTTGCCCTCCTTTGACCTCTCACTGTTTTCATTTTTCATTAGTTTCAAAGTCCCTATCTTTGCATCGCTGCTGTCCTGAACCAGGTAGAAGGACTTTGTCTCAACACACTTTGTCACTGTGTGACCAGATGTTGGAGGGACAGAAATGAATGCAATATATACAGGCATATTTATGGAAGCCGTGTTATTACTTCTTAGAGCTGTTCACATTGTGGTGTTTGCTTCTGCTGAATTGGAAACCGCCGCGTTGGTGGACCGTAAATGAAAAGTGGATGAGAATATGAACAGCCAGCAGACCGTTGATGGAACAGCAGTGAAAACCTTAACAGAGGTCTCAGCTGATGCACCCGCCGGCCCTCCCAGGCCCGCACTGCGTCCGCTTAGAGGCACACCGCGTTCTGGCTGGTGCAGCAGATTCAGCCTTTTCCAGGCTTAGGGACAGGATGGGAAATGTGAGCCAGTCTGCTCTGTGTCAATAGCAGGAAATGCAAATATCCAAACTGAGAAATAAAACCGGGAGATCTGCAAGTTATTGAACTTCTTCCCTCTGTCTTTATTGTTGTCGTTTAATCCCTCCTCTTTTTTGTTCTTCTGCAGAAGAATCCTGCTGGTCTTAGCATTTCACAGCTCGGACAAGATGGACTGGCTTCGAGTGCGCCGGGCCAAGTGCTGCCTCCTCAACAGTCGATGACTCAAGTCCCCCAACAACTCCAACCTCTGCACATTTCAAACCCTCTACCACCAACACATCCATCCCAGGTATCCATCCCTGTTGCTTTGGCTTACACCTCACTCGGATAACATCCGTTCACGCTTTTAGTGTCAGAGTTGTTGTATGCCTCAGAAGTCTTTTTTCTACCTTGGACTTAACAGACCAATACTAATTTGGATCCTGTCCTCTTTTCTCGAACCTTTTGCTATATATACATTTTTTCCCTTTTCTTCATTTTCCCTTCAGTTTCCTTCGCAGTATCCCACAATCCAGGTGATGACAGCTGTGACTGACTGTGAATCCTCCCACCCTCACTCCTGCTCTGCTCCTCACCCCTCGACCTGCTCCTCTCTCAATCACATCTTCCTTTCTCCTGGACAGACTGTGACCCCCTCTGTCTCCCCCCTTTCTCCTCTGCACACACACAACAACGCGTTAGTTTCACCCACCCCGGTGTCCCTGATGCCGTCCCCCTCGCCCATGCTGGCTAAGGTGGGACCCACATCCCCACAGCACCAGCACGCCGCTGTTCAGCAGCAGCAGCAGAGTGTGCGATCCGAAGCTCCTCACTCGCAACCCGCGTTCATATCGGCCCCGTCCACCCACCCCTTACACACACACACTGCCCCGTGCCAGAACACACACCCTCCCACAAATGGCAGCACTCAGCCTCTGATGCAGGTAATTATGTTGGCTGCAGTGTTTACCAAGAGGGTGCGAACTGGAACCTTTGCTTGTGATAATCTCTGTCAGATTATTTTTTATAGTCGTTTGCGTCCAACGAGAGCTTTGTTTTTATGACCACCGTGCTGGATAAGTATAGTTCATATGTTAAAGTTACTGCAAGGAACTTTTAACTGGTTACCCTCTCAATAGAATAAACACAAGCGTCAACAATATCATCTACTATTTCTGCATAGTTATTCTTTGGGTGTCATTGGTTGGGTTCAGCGCAAATATTCTGATTCAGATGAAAACGTGCTCCTTCAGTAACGCTGCAGGAGGCCCGGCACTTATAGCTGAGCCCGCTGCAGTCACAGGGGAACTAAAACGAGCACTGCGTGGGAGGACCCTGTCAGACCCCGCTGTAGTAAAGATTTAAGGATTTATAAAGGGACTCCGGTCAACAAAAATCAACACAAAACAAAAAGTTCCTTGAAGTAGCTTTAACTAAAAGTCTGAAAAATGAAATAGTGCACTCACTGTGCTTTATAAATGAAAAGCTTATTGAATATAAATGATTGAGAACATTACAGCCTGAAATTTGAACATCTCAAAATGTCAGCAAGGGATTCGGTCAAGATAACATAATTATGTGTTTTTTTTAATTGGGTTATCTCGTCTTTTTTTAATACAGGTTCCCCAGCAGGCGCCGGTCAGCCACCCTGAGCTCATCCCCTTTGCTCAGCTCAGCCAACCCGCAGTCTTCCCTACTCCTCTGCAAAATGGGTCCGACGCGGTCGCCGTCACCACTGCTGCCCAGCCGGACAACAGGAACCCACAGGGCCAGATTTCGGCACCCTGTGACTCTGCCAGCTCCGGTCTGACTCAGCAGAAACCGCTCAGTAACCTCACCGATGCTGCAGGTCAGGGCCCAGCAGAGACCAGCGCGGAGGTATGGCCACTCGACTCACTTCTTCTTTTTTTTTAGTTCTGATTTTATATTTCTGCCTCTACCCACCTCGCAGGTATATCCAGATATCTACAGTTAGTGCAGTCAAATGTAGCGTCACCGTACTTCCTCCTCGAGTCATCCTCAGGAATGTCAAACACAATCCCAGATAGGGTTACTCGCTTACGCTTTCTGATCGCTTGTCTCTGCCTCTGTTCCGTCCGTAGGATCAGGCAGCAGAGAAGCACTCTGGAGGACAGAGCTATGACAGGTACTATCTTCACTCCCATCAGCCGTCTCTGCATGTGACCAGTCAGTGGTTCTAAGATTTGTAACAAATACATATAGAGATATATGTGAAAATAAATTCATCCCGCTAACATGTGCTGTTAAGTCTAGAGGAGCATTATACCTGCCGCTAAAATACTTGAATCTCTTGTTTACAGTAATGTTACAGTAACCACGGACAACTTGAAAGGATGCCTCGCTGAACTTTGCTATTTCTTATAATGTAATTTCACGTGTAATGTTGATGGCGTACAGTCATCTATGCCAACTAGTCTAGCGAGATGTGGGTCAAAGGTCAACTCTCTGTAGAACGACAACGCACCCTGATGAGCGCTCTGACATTTGGTGTCACTGTGTTATCACTGTACCCAGCAGCAGCTAACACTCCATCTGGTCCAAGTGCAGTTTCTTCATAATCAATAGCAGATCTTAACCCCCCCTGACATCTATATCCCCTTTAAGCCCATGGAGTTTAGTGCCACCGATGGTTGATATATCAGGCTCTTGGCAAATCCTGCAGGCATTCCAAAGCAGCGATACACTTTACAAAACCTTTTTCACTGAGCTCCATATCGAGGCCGTGAGGTAGAAATCCAGTACTTCTCTTTTTGTCATCTGCCATCTTTTATTTGGAAAGCCGTCTCGAGCTCGTTTGAACAGGTACCTGGTTATCTCGAAACTGACGGTCAACCTCAACGTGTGCTCAGGATTCAGGTGTTAATGAACTATGGCGCGCTGCCGCTGACGTACTCTCCTCTCTCCAGCCTCAACTCGGACGCCACGTCGGGGAAGGAGATGAGCGATGGTTACGAGGGGACCCACGGAGGTAAAGGCGAAGCGAAAGTCCGCAAACACCACCGCAGGTCCACGCGCACTCGCTCTCGGCAAGAGAAGATCAGCAGGCCGAAGCTCAACATGCTCAATGTGGGTAGCCGCTCCGTCCCTTTGCGTCCAAGGTCAAAAATATCCCGACGGCCGATGACCTGTTTACTGTGTCTGCTCCTGTTGCAGGTGTGCAACACTGGCGATAAAATGGTCGAGTGCCAGCTGGAGACTCATAATCACAAAATGGTCACTTTCAAGTTTGACCTGGATGGAGACGCACCGGAGGAGATCGCTACCTACATGGTACGTAGGAGACGAGGTCGCTGCCTCTTCAAATGAGCCTCCGACCTCCTTAAAGCTTCAACCAATTCATATCAGGCTTATATTTATACACAGACCAATAGTTGTGGCATAACTCCTTCACCGAGTTATAGTGTATGATAAAGGTGGTCCAAGGATGGAACACTTTGTGAAGCTTATCAGAGCAACATATCTAATCTACGTTATGTCGTAAAATGCTTGGAAACAAATTTGACTTTCTTGGACCTCATTGAATAGAATTGTATTTGGAAACTTCAATAATTCAATAAAACTCTTTCCAATGTTTTGGATTCCTCAGTTGTTTAAGCTGTAACTCTGTTCTTTCCTCCGTCGCGTCCCTCAGGTGGAGAACGACTTCATTCTGCCTTTAGAGAGGGAAGTGTTCATAGAGCAGCTCAAGGACATCGTGGACAAGGCTGAGGACATGCTGAGCGAGGACCCCGAGGGCGAGCGGAGCTCTGACCACGGCGGAAGTCCGAAGCAGAGCGACGGCGCTCTGGGAGCGGAGGTGAGAGAGGAAAGCGTTGACACTTAACAGTTGCGATGTTTCCACTAAGGCCTCAGGCTCATTATCTCGAGAGCTGCCAAATATACCATTCCTGCTGATGTGACATTTAGATCTAACCGAATTGCTTTCTAGAGGTCAGCTTTTATTGACTGGTTGAGGAAACCTTTTTAAATGCCTATTGGATGCACATAATGCACGTGCATCATATCTGTGCAGTAATGCTTCCTGTTCTTTAGGGATTGAAGGCTTCCACACCCAGCACACCGCAGCTGGTGTACCAGCAAAACGGTAAGACCTCAAGCTACCTGTAACTTATATATAGCTAAATCCAGTAGCCCCCCCTGCACATCTGCATTTGACGTCTGTTTGTTTCCTCTGATTCTGTATGTAACTTTTCACGAGGTCATGCTGTACATTTTGCTCTTTTACTGAAATGATGTTGTAGTAGATGTGCATTAATTTTTCCTTTCTCTCTGTCCTTGACAGTCCTCCACACTGGCAAGCGCTGGTTCATCATCTGCCCGGTGGCTGAGACGCCTACACCGGACAAAGAGAAGACCACAGGTCACACCTCTGCAGCCCTGGGTATTCTTCACACTCAGAACTTTGTGTCATTAATACCTTCCGTCCTCAGATTGGCTATTTTTGGATTTGAGCCCGACGAGCAGCAGCTTTCTACACCAGTAGAATGTTTTCTGTAGATTTAGCCGAATTGTTTCTGTCTGACTTTCTGCTGTTTAATAGTGAAGATGGTGCGACTGCATCAGAGTGCTTCTGTTGGGGTCAGTTATGTAAGTGTGCTTCTGCAGTGGTTAAAGGCAGAAACGAAGGGCGGGATTCATACTCCAGCTAACTGAGCCTGATGGGGGAAGACAAGCGGTGATGTAACACCCGGGCACCCACAGCCCCCCCCCCCCCCTTTCCTCCCCGTCTTTTTGGTCGGTGGGTGTTTACCCTCCTGAATTGGTCGGGTAGTTGTTATCTTGGGCTTCCGTTAGTGCACCCGAAAATCGGAA